CCGTTAAACCCGCCGCTGCTCCCGAATGGTCGGCTTGACCTTGAAGCCCCTGGGTTCGTCCTCGATGGCCCTCTTGACCGCGGCGCGGCGCTTTTCAGGATCGGCGCCCACGCCGCAGGCTGCGGCCTGCTCGGCAAGCTCGATGAGGCGAAGCTGGGATTCCTCGTCGAGTCCCATCTCCTGGCCACCTGCTGCGGAGTCCGCAGCATGAGGGTCGCCACCAGCAGAAGGTGCAGAAGCCGCGGCAGCACCGACGGCGGCTGCGCACGCCTGCTCCTGCAGCAGCGCGACGAGCTGCCCGAGGTTGCCTTACTCCTTCTGGGCAGCGAGCCACTCGGCGAACCCTTCGCCAGCTGCCTGGCACTGCTCGCTGGAGAGCTCCAGGCTGAGCGCCGCGCCGCCGCCGCAATGCTTCTGGACGGTGGTCTTGGCCTCGCACTCCAAGGCCTGGACCGAGAGATTTGCCTCCACCGAGGCTGCTTCCAAGGCAGCCACCTCCTCGTCGAACTTCTCTTTGGCCTTCGCAGCCGCCGCCTTCTTGGCTTCCAACGTCGCGTCGGCCTTGACCTCGGCCGCCCTGGCGCGCTGCAGCCGTTGTGCGACGGAGGCCTGCGCGGCCTCGGGTGACTTGGTCTTGAGCAGCAGCTCCTGCAGGTCGGAGACCTTAGACTCGGAGGACTTCTAACCTTCCTCGCTAATGGCCCCCTTGGCGCAGCTGCGCCAGCGGCCAACGCGGGCCTGCGAGTCCTTGGCAGGGTCGGAGGCGATGCGCGAGTCGACCTCCTTCTCAACCTATGCGACGCCCCCGCGGGTGAGCTGCCCCAACGCCTCGGCCGCCTGCGCCTGGGCCAGCTTGGCCAGATCCTTAGGCTGGCCCCACGCGCCGCGCTGCACCCCTGGCGCCGCCGCCTCGGCTGCCTTGCAGACTGCCGCCAGCGTTTGAGCCCCGCAAACGCAGCGGATGCCCGAAGCCCAGTTCTCCGTGCAGCTGCACTTCCCGCAAGACCAGCGAGGCCCCTTGGGCCCGGGCAGAACATCTTTGCCCTGCATTTGGGCCACGAAGAAGGAGTGGGGGACGAGGCCCCTCGGCCTGAGTGGACGAATGGGCGACCCTGGCCTGGCAGCCACCTGTGGGCCCCCGAAAGTAGAAAGCGAAAGAACAACGGAGGGCGAGGCAAAGACGCCTTCCCACCCTCCAGCTCGCAAGCTCACTGTAAGCCACCTCGAGGAATTGAGTGCTTGAGCCAAACTGGCCTGAGCCAAAAGGGCTACGGACGGCCCGGGCCACCCCCGCGGGGCCAGACCCACGGGGCCCCTTCGAAATTGGGGCTCCTCGAAAGGCGCCCAAGCGGGCAATTCGGTCCGTGGTCTGCAAAATGGTCGCCTCCACAGATCTCTGCTCGATATTCGTTGTGGTCCGCAATGATGGCCCTTTTGTCGGCCTTCCTCCCGGGCGATCCAAGCTGATTGGTGCCGCCCTCCCTGTTGGAACTGATGATTTTGCCGCGTTCATTCCGCCTCGCGATATTCAACGACCACCAGTGGCGGATTTGGTGCTCGGCGTAACCCTGTTCCAGCCAGGAATCCACGCGGTGGGCCGGCATGCGTTGGCGAGCAAGCCCGTCGTTCTGTTCACCGACAAGTCTGAATCCACGCGGGCCATCGGGTTCACCTGGGCTCTCGCCATCCTGATGCGGGTCCTCGCGAACGTTCCCTCCTAGGCGATTCTCTCGGATCGCCCGGACGAGGGCGCCGCGCGCCGCTCGGGCGGGCGCGCGAGAGCCTGCCCGAATGACTCCGCCGACGGCGGCGTGGCGGACGGCTCTCGGCTTCCCATTCTTCATCGCGATTCCCAGTGAGATGCGCGCGTCTCCAACCTAAACGGCTCGAAGTCCGGTCACGTTGTACAAAGGTGAAGTGAGAGCCTTCATTGTGTCCGAGTTCATACTGAACGCGCTCAGAAAGGTCGCCTGCGTCACGCGGGTTGCCCCACAGAGGATCGCCGTCGCAGGTTCCCCCGCGCGCGGGGTTTCCAATCGCCTGCGGTCGGAACGCCAATCGGAGCTCCTCTTCCGCAACCGGTATCGCATCATCATCAGAATTGTCCGCTCGTAACCGTCGGAAGACGCATGTGCCCCCGCCATCCCGTGATCCGAGTCGGCGGGCACGCGGTAGTCCTCGATAAACTCTATATGCGCAGGTTGCCCCGCGACAGGAATGCCCAGCCAGTCTGCGATATCGATCTCATCGTGGCCAACGTAGATTTCCTCGAAGAGCACGTCGGCGCACCTCCCGAGGGACACGCCGGCGCTAAGATACCTCGCGGACATGAAATGGGCGGCGGCGGCGGGGGGGGCTTCTCGCTCGGCAAGGAGAGCTCCCCAATCGACATGCTGCGTGTCGGAATCGGATTGAGCCAGATGCGTCGACGGACCCCTGCCTCCCCCGTCGCCCCGGGGGCATCCGCGACGACAGTGCTGGGTACTATGGCAGATATCACATTCCATGGTTTCCCCGCCGGCATCTTTGGGGCTGCCCCGACGCCCCTCGCCTTTTCCTGAGGCGCGCCTGCGGCCTTTACCCTTCTCCAAGAAGATTTCCTCATACTGTGACCCCGTAACCTCTGCCTCGTCGTTTACCCATGCCTTTCGACCTAAACACCCGTCGGACTGCGCGTCGCACCTTTCGAACTGGTTTCTTTCCAAAACGTCTCTATCGGCACTTGTGCTTCTGGTGCCCTAGGAATATCCACTTTGCCTGCTGCTCTTCAGTGAGATGCGCAGGCATGTCGGAGTAATCCAGGTTACCAGTTCCCTCATCTGGTGTGGTGTCTGCGACGGTGCCAGAGTCAAATTCGGACTCCGCGGGTTGCCCCGCCGAGCCCACGAGGGCAATGGTTTGAGCAGGGGCCGCCTTTTCTAATGGCCCCTGATATCGAGCCCCGGAGTTTTGCGACCCCGTGGGCTGGCCACCTCGTTGGCTTAATAGAGTGGTGGCCTCGTTTGGTTGTGGATCGTGATTCAAGACGTTGCTGGCAGGTTGCCCCGCATGGGTGCCGCTATGAAAGACATCAGCGCGGTGGCCATAACTGAATGCACCACCAATGTTGCCAGCAATGGTTCGCTCGGCAATATCGGCGCAAGCCCTCGCGCGCTCTAGTAAGGCGTCAAACTGTTGCTGGGCCCCTGGCATTTGGTGGTTCAATGGATGTAGTAGTTGCTGTGCGCGCGATGTACCAACACCTAGGGCTCTGGACAGTATAACTGTCAGGCTCTGGAAGTTTGGGACGTTGAAACCCGCGGCGTCGGCTTCGAAGCGCGCTATCTCGAAGCGGGCCAGCGTCTGGTCGACCCGTTCTCTCGCATGGGCTCGAAAATCAAGGAGAGCCGTTCCCGAGTTGAGTTGGTGTTCCTCTTCCAGGTTTCCAACCTTAGTGCTGAAAAGGAACATGATCTAGGTAACGCAGTCGGTGTGGCGACCACCAACGTTAACACTGAAGTTGATTGCTGCGGGGGGGACTCTCATGGCTATGGTCCTTGCGAGCCCTCCCAGACCACGCTGTAGAGTGGCAGCCTGTTGGGAGGGGGTCATTGTGCCTGGGGTCACGTTGGCATGTACCTCGCGAGCGAACTCGCGGAAAGGTCCATTACCGGCAGGGTCCCAATGCGGGCCGGTAGTGCGCGCGTCGTATTCGCCACGGTGCGTATGTCCAACAGCGCATCCGAAAATGACCCATAAAAAGGCGAACTATAGAAATACCATTCCAATGGCCTCGTAGGTCGTAGTCGGTTGTGCGTGGCTGTTGTTTGTGAGGTGACGTCGCCGTCAGCTTGCGTGGGGGCGGAGGCGCCGCATTGTCGTATTGCATGTTACTACGCACATCATCTTCGAAGAATTTACCACTTGGAGTAGGTGGGTGGACTGCAAGAGTGTAGTAGCGCAGAGAGGTAGGAGTCAAATAAGAGAGCTCCACGTGAGCAGAGGCAGCACTGCAAGTGTCTTTACGGTTGTGCATACGTGTATATATACATACATATATATGTACACATATACATATATGTATATATATATATAGATATAAGTACACATTCCTCCGCACAGAGCCACTGCACCCTGATGTTCCACCATATCAGTAGTCCAGCAGATAGTGCCGTGGATGGTGAGTAGTAGAGCTAGAGCTGACCTCCATAGGCCAGCTCCGCTACCAAGTTTGAAGCTGGTGGGGGGGGGCCAACCAGATGCTTCGCCTAAGGCGAAGCCCATATCCAACTCTGCTATACCGCAGTAGCGAGCAGGGGAGAGTCGCGGGAGCGACGAGCCATGTCAAGCGAAAATGTTTCCGGTCTCAATGGCAAACAATATGCCTCGCGGCCAGGCACAGTCAGATCTTGGCGGCCGGCCGCTTGAACACAAACGGCCGCGGACAAACGCTCGGTACCTCTCGCCTTTGCCCAATCTCATTTCGTGTAAGAACACAAGACAGTAAACATCGCCTCAAGGCCACGCTAACACGTTCCAAGAGGGCCCAATAACTTACCACAATATCCCCGAGACACTGATGGCGACAAACCGTTTTGCAAATCAGATGGCCGATCATTGCTTTCAGCTAGTTATACAATCGCCTGTTGTCCTTCCAAGGTGTCCCGAGATAGCTCGAACACGCCAAACAAGGGCATACAGATATCCCTAAGATCGTCCAATATTGCCCCGAGGTGGTCCCGAGGTGGCCTCCAGAGGCCCCAAGAAAGATCCCACCAACATCACACAAGATGGCCACAGGTCGGCCCCACGATGTTTCCAAGGGTCCCCAAGATGCCCCCTTGAGGCCTCAGGATAGCTCAACTTTAGCTGCGATGGTCCATAGGTTGAACTCCTGAGGCCCCAAGATGCCCCACATGAGGCCCCTGGATGGCCCAGGAAGTCACAAGGTGGTCCCAGGGAATGCCAAGATGACTCCGTCTGGGGTGGCGGCGGCACAGGGCACACCCCTTTAGATAATCTCCGCAGCTCCCCAGGCTCACAATAGCAGTCCTCTCTCGCGAGGCTGCCACGGCGCACCAAGCTGCGCACGTAGTACCTCTCCCAGTACTCTGCATCAGCATCTGCCTGGCCGTCTTCGCACACTGCCTCTGGGTCAGGCGGAACTCTGGCGACAGGAGGTGCCCCGAGGGCTCGCAGCGCTGCCAAGGTGCAGCGGTGCTCCGCACAAGGGTCTAAGGCATCCATGCCCGGCGGAAGAGGCAGGAAGAGCAGACGAGCGAAATGAAGCTGTTGACGAGGGGGCAACAGTAGACCCGTTTCTCAACGCCATCTCGAGCCACGTTCGGCTGCGATGATGTCGGTGGTACTGGTGATCACATACATGTCCTGGGGTGGTGATGTTGGTGGTGGCCCTTGTTATGGTATATGTGGAAGAAGGAAGTATGGTGATACTGGTGATGGTGAGGATGACGGCAACGACGATCACTATGCTGGTAATGGGCGATTGAAGGTGCACCATGTACAATAGCGCTGGCTATTGGCATGGCTGTCCGTTCCTGCCCCGCTCCCGGCGGATGCCGCAACGGAACCGCCTCCGCAATCGCCAGGGACAGGGCTTTCCAATTCCATCATCAGCTTGGGCGGTAGTGCGCACGCCAGGCTGAGCATTCAGCGAGCGTGTAGAACGGTCATGGAATCCGGCCAGCCCGTTGGGCTAAGGTGGTTTAGCGATGCCTCTCATTTCTTGTCCAAAACCCGCTTCCCTTCGGAATGGGGTACCCTCCTCCTCGCCCCCGAAATATTGTTGGGGGTCACGATGCGCTAGGGCGCCCAAGGCGGCCGACGATGGCTCAAAAATGGTATACGATGCTCCAAGATGGCATCCAAGGCGGCTCAAAGTAACCGAATATTTTTCTACATAGTTTCCGACATACCGCCAAGAGGCCCGACAAGGGCCACAACACAGTTCCAAGTGCGTTCGGAGCCCCCTCGGGACCCGCCAAGAGGCCAACATCCTTCAAAAACCACAGTAACATCAAACATGTGTGCCTTCTCGCCGTTTCGCTCCCGATGCGCTTTTGATGCCGCAAGTATGGCCACAAAATGGCCCAAGAGAGGCCAACGAGGAGCCCAAAAGGCCCCCAAAACGGCCCCCAAAAACCCAAACGCGTCCCAAAAAGGCTGCAGATGCGATGTTGCAGTACAGGGGTGGCGGACTTGGGGGGCGCGGAAAGGAAGGCGAAGACGAGGTGGGGAGAGGCGAAGGAGGAGGGAGCGACGAGGAGGGGAGAGGCGAAGGAGGAGGGGACGACGAGGTGAGCACTGAAGCAGAGAAGGAGTATATGAGGGACAAGAGGAGCCGGAGAAGAAGGGACGGAACTCTCCTCCCCCCGTTTTCCCCCACTCGTAGACGGCAGTGGTACACATACCTCCTATGTTGTTTTTGTTTTTGTTTTGTTTTGTTTTTTTCTCGGGGGCGGGTGAATCGCAAAGTGGGGGGGGTATTGTTGTTTTTGTTTTTGCGCCCCCCCCTCTCCGAGGCCGCCGCGAAGGGACAGGAGGAGGCGGGGGAGAAAGGGGCGGAGTTCCTTCCCCCCCCTCGTGGACGGGAGTGATACGCATTCCTCCTGTGGCGTTTGTTGCACGAACCGCGCGGGGGACACACCGAAATGTGTGGTGGGGTGCACGACGCGAACGACAACGACAGGCATGATTACGAGAGATTGAGTGCGGGTGAGTCTAAGCGCGAATGAGTCTGATTGTGAATGCGTCTGCGTGCTGATGAGACTATGCGCATGAATGTCGACGACCATGTCGGCGCGCCCCTCACGAGGATCGCGCCCGTTTCTCTTCCTTTTTGTTTTCTCCCTCTGTGCCCGCGCGCGCCAATGTCCAAGGCTGCGGGCGCAGCGCACCGCGGAGTCCCCGCGACGCGCGCCGGTCGCCCCGAAGGGGTTCCAGCGACGCGAGCGGGTCGTCCGCTGCGCGGAGCAAGGAAAGTTAGCTGGCTGGTCGATAGCGGGCAAGGCTCTGGCCGTTGGGCAAAGCGACGACAGGCGAGCGAGGCGCTGGGCAGAGCGCAGCAAGGAGTTCCCGCGACGCGCGCTGGTCGCCCTGAGAGGGTCCCAGCGACGCGCGCCGGTCGTCCGCGGCGCGGGGCTAAACAGTCAGACCGTCGAGAGGAGGCGACGCTCGGACGGGCCTCTCCTCTGGTCAGGCATCGCGGATAAACTCGGCGAAGCCCAGCTCCGGGGCGAGGGTCCTCGCCTACCTCCTCCTGCGCCGTATCGTGCGCGCTGCAGACTGCTGCAGCTGCTTTCGCAAGCTCTCCGGAGAAACGTGAGGGGTGTGCCGAATCGGGTGCGAATGCGCCATGCGGGCCCTGCCTCCGCGGCCTTCGTCGGAATTCCCACTGGGGCAACGAACCGTGTGAGGGGCGTGCCGAGTCGGGCGGGGTACGCCATGCGGACCCTGCCGCCGGGGCCTTCGGTGGAGATCCCTATGCATGGAGCCACGAAGCGTGCAAGGGGTGTGCCGAATCGGTGGCGGGCACGCCATGCGGGCCTTGCCGCTGGGGCCTTCGGTGTAGCTGCCTATGGGGCCACGAAACGTGCGAATGGTGTGCTGCATCGGGTGCGGGTACGCCATGCGGACCCTGCCGCTGGGGTTGAGTCGGGCTTTGTGTCCTAATAGCTAACATCCACATGTTTGTTTTACGTTGTTCGACATGTGCTTCGATTTCGACGTCGTGCAAGTCGGGTGGAAAACAACCTGCCCTTTGATTACCTCGCCCAGAAACGTTGGACCAAAACTACATGATCAAATCCTACGTTGTTGGTGTTGGCCCCGCTCGCAGAAGTGACGACTTCTGTTTTGCTGGCATTTCGTTGTGTTCTCGAAGCGTCGATTTGGAGGTTGGGTAACTTTCCAAACACGTTTGATGTGTGGCATTTTCGGCCTTCGCCAACGCTGCTGAATTACGGTGTGTTCTGTCTCTGGCCGCTTGAACTTCGTCGTGGGACGTGTCAAACGGGGAGGCGGTTGTGGTCGCGCAGGCTGTCGCGGCAGTGATTCTCTCGGCGGTGGCGGCGATGGGAGGTGGCAGCGGCGAGCGGAGGTCGGACAGTTTGTTAGAGATATGCGGACTATGGCATAAAAAAACATTGATTGTTGACAAAAGTTGCGAGAAGGACGGAACAAAAACAGGGGCGGACCCTGCCGCTGGGGCATTCGGTGGAGCTCCCTATGGGGCCACGAAGCGTGTGAAGGGTGTGCCGGATCGGGCGCGGGTGCGCCATGCGGACCCTGCCGCTGGGGCCTTCGGTGGAACTCCCTATGGGGCCACGAATCGTGCGAGGGATGTGATGAATCGGGTGCGGGTACGCCATGTGGACTGCCGCTGGTGCCTTTGGGGCTACGAAGCGTGTGACGGGGCGTGCCGAATCGGGAGCGGGTACGCCATGCTGACCCTGCCGCTGGGGCCTTCGGTAGAGCTCCCCATGGGGCCACGAAGCGTGTGCGGAGTGCGTGCAAAATCGGGCGCGGGTGCGCCATGCGGACCCTGCCTCTGGGGCTTCCGGAGGAGCTCTCTATGGGACCACTAGGCGTGTGAAGGGGTGTGCCGAATCGGGGGTGGGTGCGCCATGCGGACGCTGCTATGGGGCCACGCAACATGTGAATGGTGTGCCGGATCGGGTGCGGGGGCGCCATGCGGACCGTGCCGCTGGGGCCTTCGGTGGAGCTCTCTACGGGGCCACGAAACGTGTGAATGGTGTACCGATTCGGGCGCGAATGCGCCATGCGGACCCTGCCGCTGGTACCTTCTTCGGTGGAGCTCTCTTTGGGGCCGCGAAACAAGTGGGGGTGTGCCGAATCGGGTGCGGCTGCGCCATGCGCACCCTGCCGCTGCTGCATTCGGTGGAGCTCCCTACGGAGCCACGAAGCATGCGAAGGGCGTACCGAATCGGATGCGGGGGCGCCATGCGGACCCTGCCGCTGGGACCTTCGGTGGAGGTACTATGGGGCCGCAAAACGTGCGAGAGGTGTGCCGAATCGATTGCGGGTGCGCCATGCGGACCGTGCCGCTGGGGCCTTCGGTGGAACTCCCTATGGGGCCACGAAACGTGTGAGGGGTGTGCTGATTCGCGCGCGTGCCGCTGGGGCCTTCGGTGGAGCTCCCTATGTGGCCACGAAACGTGCGAGGGGTGTGCCGAATCGGGGGCGGGGGCGCCATGCGGACCCTGCCGCTGCTTCCTTCGGTGGAGCCCCATGTAGTGCCACGAAGCGCGCGAATGGCGTGCCGAATCGGGTGCGGGGGCGCCATGCGGACCCTGCCGCTGGGGCCTTCGGTGGAGCTCCCCATGGGGCCACGGAGCGCGTGAACGGTTCGCCAAATCGGGGGCGGGGGGCGCCATGCGGACCCGGCCGCTGGAGCCTTCGGTGGAGCTCCCCATGGGGCCACAAAACATGTGAATGGCGTGCCGAATCGGAAGCAGGCACGCCGTGCGGATTCTGCCGCTGGGGCCTTCGGTGGGGCTCGTCATGGAGCCGCGAAGCGCGCGAGGGGTGTGCCGAATCGAGGGCGGTGGCGCTATGCTGACCCTGTCGCTGCGGCCTTCGGTGGAGATCTCTATGGGGCCACGAAGCGTGCGAGGGGTGGGCGCCATGCGCACCCTGCCGCTGCGGCCTTCGGTGGAGCTCCCCGAGGTGCCACGAAACGTGCGAGGGGTGTGCCGAATGGGGGGCTGGGGCGCCATGCGGACCCTGCCGCTGGGGCCTTCAGTGGAGTTCCCGATGGTGCCACGAGGCGTGCGCGCGGTGTGCAGAATCGGGGGCGGGCACGTCATGCGGAATCTGCCGCTGGGGCCTTCTGTGGAGCTCCCTATGGGGCCGCGAAGCGTGCGAGGGGTATGCCGAATCAAGGGCGGGGGCGCCATGCGGATTCGGCCGCTGGGGCCTTCGGTGGAGCTCCCTATGGGGCCGCGAAAAGTGCGCGGTGTGCGGAATCGGGGGCGGGGACGCCATGCGGGCTCTGCCGCTGGGGCCTTCGGTGGAGCTCCCTAAGGAGGCACGAAGCATGCGGGGTGTGTGCCGATTTGTCAGCGGGCACGCCATGTGGGCCCTGCCGCTGAGGCGTTCGGCGGGGCTCTGAGGGGGCCGCGAGACGCGCGAGGGGCGCGAGGCGGTGGTCGACGCGCGGAGAGCAGAGGCGTGGAGGGGCGGGATGGGGGAGGGGGGGTAGGAAG